AATGTAAAGTAATGCACATGGGTCACTTATCTCCAGGGCCATAATAAATATCATAACATTTGTTTGTATATTGTACAAGACATCAGATGAAAATGAGTCTTTCTGAGGAGGCTTGCTTGTATTAGTAGACATTCACAGTACATGTTTAAACCTGGAATGTTATGTAATTTCCTAAAAGGTAATTTCATATCTTTGTGCATTCTGTTCTTGTTTTGATACAGAGGTAATCACCCACCCATGGCCAGCAGTCGTATACATTACCCAGTGTAGTTCTTAGGAACATTGAGTGGCGGTGTAGTTACGTTACCACTTGCTTAAGTGGATTGACAAAGGCTGGCCCACCCACTTACTATGCGTTGATTGATTGACAAGCCAGGAGACTCCCGGCCACATTCTCTCTCACTTACAACTACAACTGCCATTGCATGATGGTAATTGCAGTTTTTTCCAGTGCCACGCAGTGTGCTGAAGTGACATATCCACTTGCCTGATACCTCCTCTGAGTGCCCAGCCATAGCAGCACTTTTTTATTGGAAACTATGATGTCAGAGTTCAAGATGATATTTTTCTCATCAACTGGAATTATTTAATATAAAAAATAGCACACTTATATTATATACAGTTAGGGGAATTTATCAAAACTGGAGCAGACAAAAACTGGAGCAGCTGTGCATGACAACCAATCAGCGTCTCTGTTTCATTTTCAAATCTTAACTGAACAAACTGAAGAGAGAAGCTGATTGGTTGCCATGCACAGCTGCTCTAGTTGTGATAAATTCCCCCCAATATATTTAACATTAATGCTACAAAATTAACTAGGATCCCAGCTTTAAATGAAATAACAGACCTCCCTCCCTTCCACAATGATTTAACTGTGAGCAAATTCCTGATCCCCATTCTTCATACTCAGACTTGATTTTAACATTTATTTTGTCAGGGTTTTTACAAATTTGAGTGTGCAGTAAATCACCATTTTAAGGAGGCCTCCAAGTCCCTAAAACTCTTTGTTAGCAGGGGCCTGACTTTTCTTTTACTTCAGAGCTAAGCCCTGCCAACTGCCATCCCAGTTAGTGAGATTCGCTAGGAGGTCCGCTAAATTTAACTTGTGCTTTATAAAATGTAATGCAGCCAGATTTGGATGCTTTTCATTGGGCATTTGGATATAACAGCATTACACCACCTCATATAACCTTCCTCTGATGTTCTATGTTTGTGGATGAGTCTTCAGTGTACTCAAAGAATGGCACTTTTTCTCTGGACTGACTCCTAGGACATTCAGAAGATGAGAACTTCTCCACAAGATGAATGTGAGGACTGAAGCATTCAGCAATTCAAATCTAACCTGAAGTATACCTTTATTATGCTTCACTACACCTGCTTACACAAACCGTTCTTATCTCTTTGATGTGTGAAGAGATAACTAATGCACATGTTATAAAGATGAATAAACTGTTCTGTGAAAAATTTGTGACACGGTAAAGGAAGCTGTGAACAATGTTCTCATCAATAACGCCACCAGCTTGCCTATAAAAATGTAAAACAATACAATGAGGAAGTAAAAAGACAAAGTGCTAATAAACAGAAAAGCTGCAGTGTACGCAAAACTGAAATGGAGAAATATATACATGAGTGTAAATACTGACACTCCCTATAAAATGAAATACCAACATCATTTTGCAACAAACATTTTGACGTATAAAATCTCAAGGACATGGGTGATTCTAAGTAGGTCACAGAACTTCAGCACAACATATGCATAGAATTCAACATACACAACATTACAAGCTTACTGTATTCACATTTACAAAGCCAGGAATAGTCAACAGTTCATGTAAATAAAGAGACATATCCCTTAAGAAATCCTACTTTGCTACAATTTGATCCAGGCCTGCCTATACGAAAGCTTGCTAACAAATCAATAAAGTGCATCTAAAGACAAAACTTTTTTCTTTAGTTTTTGGATTTGTGGGGAAGAATTATCACCTATGTCAGGACACTGCAGCTTTTTGTGTCCCTCGGGAAAGAACCTATTTGTCCTGGGGACAAACACTGGGATATCCAAAATATTACAGTGCTCACCAGAACTGCATTAAAAAGTGAAAGCCTCCAATAACAATACCTGTTAAAGTGATATCTATCTAAAAGAGACAGTTCTCTCACTTCAGCTTTTAGGTTAGTCACACAGGTAGTAAAACAGGGAGCTTGGCAGGTGCTTCTGCACCCTACCAAGAACCCCCTAAATTCTGAGTATGTTCAGTAAATAATTTAGTAGTTATGGGGTGCCAATGGCTGCCTAATAATTATACTTAAAGTGACATTAAAGTCACATCCCCCCCCCCCATGTTAATGTTAGCACTTACCTTAAATGATGTCTCTTAATCCGATCTTCTTCTTCCCTAATGTTTTCATCTGTCCCTCCAGCGCTGCTGCTGCCCTCCGATCCAGCGCTGACTCCTCTGCTCTTGCTGGTACATCCTGTCCCACGGTGTCTGCAAGCAGGCCGCCCAAGCAGTTTCTGATTTTCTGACGGGAGCGCGCGACGAAGACGGGGTAAGTTTTAACCGTTTTAAAACTTTTTGCATATATCTACTGCTTGCTAGCAGTAGATATATGCAAAAAAAACGGAGGCTTTAGAAACCCTTTAATCCCCCAATGTGCCTATCTGTCAACAGAGGGTTTGATCCCAGGCAAAATGCTGCTCCAAACAACATGGGTGTCAGATAGTCTTCTATATCAAGTGCTCAGGTAAATGTAGCCTAAGTGGCCACACCTAATCCCTCCTGTGTTCAGTGAATATCACTATTGGTGCAATCTGAAAAGCCTCTGTGCTGGTTACAGAATAATTCCTTAGTAAGTCTGTTTCTAATAAATGCGCCACCTCATTCATTACATATTCACCCACGCCATTAACCCCTTCATGACTGAGGCCCTTTTTTCCATTTTTGCACCCATGTTATATTCCACATTTTAGGCCTGAAAATGACGAAACTAAATTCAGGAATGATTCTATGGAAAATGATTCATTGTTACAAACCTTCAGATTTCACAAAAAGCCAACTGAATCTTACTATTAATTTAATGGAAGTGGTGTATACTTCTGGATATTTTTTAAGATATAAACTACCCATGTAGTTCATGCTTAATATCAAATACAAGTATATTCACAAATATATATGCAACTTTATGTAATCTATTAGCCTTTTCTGTGGTTTCAGTTATAGCTGACTGACTTAATTTGTATCTCTTAATAGTGTGATTGTTCATTTTCTTACTTTCAGTCTCATGACCGTGAATCATAATAGTACTTTATGTTGGTAATTTCCTCTTTTCAGCGCAAAGGAAATCTCTGTACATGTCAAGTGATAATCTGGAAATTTTTGTAAAGGCTATGGAAGCACTGTCCACTAAATTCTTTTTAGGTTTATCTGAAAATGGGTCCTGTTTGACCCCCTTCTCCCTAAATGCAGAAACTGGGATTTCCTTCAACAAAAGTCAATTGAGTAATCATCTTTTGTGATGGCAGCAGGGCTGTCCACTGTGAAAATGTCAGCCGATTCCTGTGAATCTGCCAAAATTCTAACAGTTGTATGATCAGCTTTATACAAGAGATCTCTCACTTTAGCAACACCCAGATCTTCTATCTTCTAACATCTTGGCTGCTATTACATTCAAATAGACAGAGTAGAATGGATAGATCTTCTGAGAGATCAAAGTAAACAAGAGCACTAGGAAAATACTGTTTGCTAGGGAGGGAAAATACTGTTTGGCTACATGGAGGGATCAGCAGCGTCCACTTTTTACATAGTATAGAAAATCTCTAATATTAAACATCTTAACAGGTGATCACAGCTAAGAACCATTAAGCAGCATTTGTTAAGTAGATTCTCTTGCTGAAAGTGCATCCTCATGCATCAGACCTTTCATATGGCCTTTTTATAACATAAAATACCCACCTTGTGGACCCCAAATAGGTAGGCCCAAATGTACTTGCACAATGCCCAGTGTTACCCAGAACACAAGGCATTTTTATAGAAGAAAATTGACCTGTATTTATCATCCTCATTTACTTATCCTCATTCATTTATGTATTTACCTCCTCATGTATCACTTGCCCCTCCTTTTTAGAATTGTAGGCCCTCCTTACCATCTTATCTTGAATTGTATTGTAATGTCTTCCTTATATTGTAAAGCGCTGTGCAAACTTTTGGCGCTATACAAGTCCTGTATCATAATAATAATAATAATCATCCAAGCCTTATCCCTTGTAAGCGTATAAGACATGGTAACATCACACTGCGTAAAAGCAAACACAACTCAGCTAGCTAGTCACCTCCTCCATCATGTGGCAGTGCACAGGCTAGGATGTACAGGTTACCAATAATTCACAAAAAATCGCTAAGCCCAAGTACTGAATTATTGGAAGGGTCATGTGTTCCCCCAGTACCTGGAAGCACTGGGTATTTTGTGCCAGCTGTGATTGAGGTAGCAGCGGGGAGGGGGACCCTTTGATAAGTATCAGTGGGTCAGGGGGAAAGCTTAAGCGCCTTTTGTTTGCTTAGGAACTGCTTCTCTCCCCCAAAAAAGTATATGGAAATTCCAAAGCAACTAAAGGTTCACTGCACCGGCAATGAATTCTGGATGATCTCAGAAGCATCTCAAACCAATCTCAAGAATACGCTCACTTACACAGACACTGACCGTGCAAAGTGATGGTGTCTCTTCACCTGTAGCCCCTAGTCATACCCTCCTGTGTATGTACTTCTAATTTTTGAGCAGTGCCATTAGACATGGGGGTACAATTTAATATCAATAGTAAAAAAAAATGATCATTTAGAATATCAATGCTTGTCAACATTTGCAAATTTTCCAAAAGTGTTTAGTTATAATCACGACCAAAAGAACTAGTGGTTTGATGTGTTGGTGTATTAGTTTGCATTTTCAATGAGAGATAGTTGGCAAGTGTGTCAATATACGAATATTATAATGAATACAAACTCTACCTTGTTCTTAGTCTGTCACTGATGGAGCTGGTCCAATTTCTGAGGAGGCCAAAGACTGGACTTTCCTCATACTGTCTGGTGTACTGTGCCAGGAGCTCCCTTACCACCACCTGTAAAACGCAGCAAAAACACAGGAGATAAATGCCATTAAATGTAGTTCTTGACATGACATATCCCAATAGCACAGATAACTAAACAAATTGACACATTTCATACTGCTGGCAATATATTGTATTTATTCATTACCACTTGCTCAGTATCTACACATAGGACTTGATTTACTAAAGCTTATGTGCCTATGCCAGTGCATCAAGTGGACTAGTGATATCCTTATGGTATTTACTATGTGCCTACGATGAGCACAAATGACTGCAATGTACATGAGTTTACTAGCAAGTGCGGTGTGGTATAGCATGTAAGCTCTAGTGTCCAATGCTACGCCGGCTAAGATGTGCCGTGTCTGAAATAAAAATGTGATTTTCTCTGACAGTGGCTCTTGACCCATGTTAGGGACTTTTTATGCACATCTCATGTAAGAACAAAACTGCATAAACTGTGTACTTATATCTTTGAAGTAAAAGTAAAGTGTGTTTAACAAAAATGCTGACAGGCAGTTTTTTTTTTTTATAGCAATCTGTTTTTTTTGTCAGCAATTTTTGTTTCTGCGAGTCACACATGGCCAGCCACAGGTCCTGTGCCAAAATGCATGGGAGTTGCATCATGCTGGGCCAGCCAATCAAAAGGCTGAACCTGGAAGGAGATCGGGAGAAGATAGCAGGTCAGGCGAGAGATTAGACAGCGTAAAGCACAGCGCTGGAGGGGACCGTTTGCAATAATGTGTTAATATGCTGTGCATACTTGCACATTATAGAAAACACCTACGGAGTGCTTTTACTTTTTTAATAACCACTTTACTTCTGCCTTAGAGCTGAACTCCAGGCAGATATAAAAAGGCCCACATGAATGCAGATGTATTCATTAAAGGGACATTAAAGTAAAAAAGTTTCCCCTCCCCCAATGTTAATGTTAGCACTTACCTTAAATTATGTCTCTTAATCCGATCTTTCTCTTCTTACCTGATGTTTTCATCTGTCCCTCCAGCGGTGCGGCAGCTCTCCGATCCAGCACGGACTCCTCTGTCCTTGCTGGCACTTCCGATCCAGCGGTGTCTGCATGCGGGTGCATGCGTTTATAGACTTACCTTGCGTCACTGCTAGTCTCCCGGCCAAAAATCCGAACTGTGCATGCACCCGCCCCAAGATGCTTTGCGGCCGCCCGAGCAGTTTCGGATTCTCGGGCGGGAGCGCGCAGCGAAAACGGGGTAAGTTTAAACCGCTGTTAAAGCGTTTTAAAAAAACCTTTTTGCATATATCTACTGTAGATATAGGCAAAAAAATAGAGGGTTTAGAACCCCTTAAAAGTGACACTAAACTGCATTCAAGTACCTTAACTATTAACAAAAATGTATCTTATTTGTGTATCACTCAGCTGTAGATGCTCAAATAATCTCTGAATTGGTGCGGACACTGTCCTTCCTGGAGGCTGCCTACTTTTGTTCCCCTTGGTCCCTGTGTGTTTTGTAAAGTAGCCACCGCTCCAAGCTCTATCCCGTGATGGTCTACAATAATTATATATATATATATATAGATATCTATATATAGATATCTATATATCTGTATATAGATATCTATATATCTCTATATATTTACCCACACACAGTATTTTAAGGGGAACAGACTCAACTGGTATCTGCAGCACGAGACAGGGACTCCCAGGAAGATTCCAGGAAGGTTTGTCCTTCACTTTTATTCAGCAAGGCAACAAACACAATTTCAATTAAAAAAACATTGCGTGTCAAGCAACATAAACAGTTCGATATAAAATTCAGGTAACAGCAGCATCCAACTCCAAACTAAACAGTTTTACTTTAATAAAAATATATCAAGTTGCCATTTATCAGTTTAACATAAACTGAAAATTGCAATTGAGTTAATTAGGCATGGCAGAAAGAATTCACAAGATGCTAAAGCCCTATTATTTACAAAGGGAAAACATAAATGGATAAGATGAGTGGTATTTATATAAAAAAAAAAAATTGGCTGTATTTGTGAGCTCATTTAATAGAAGAATGCAAACAGCTGAAATGATGTGCAATATGCAGAAACCCAAAACAGCCATCAGATGAATCTAAATTCATCGTACATCAGTTCTTAGTCATAGAATTTACAAATTACTTTCGGATAGTTGCTATGGGCTAGCCTGATGCTCTTTATCTTACTAATTATAGAAGCCAGCAACAACGGTCACCTAACATAGTCAATTCCTGCTGGACAATGATTGAGATCTTTTTTTTTAAATCACAAAGATACTTTTGGTTTCTCTGGGGAAAGTAATTTACCTAGTTTACATTTTCCCACGTATTTGCTATTGATTTGTCAAGAAAGAGAACGAGGGGTGTCTGCTGGGTACAAGACTATGCAGGCTTCTGCAACACAAGACTGCATGTCCATTCACACATCATTTGAAGGGGACAAATACCACTTTTTATGCATTTTCTTTATTCATTTATTATCAGGACTAGAAGGTAACATTTTTAAATTTTTGGGCTCATTCACATTGATATAAAAGGAATGCAAGAGCACAATCTCATGCATAAAAAAAGCATCTTTGTAGATGTGTATTGGCGTGCATAGACACATTCGGTCAGTATGCCTTTTTTAATGCGTACAAATATTTCTAGCACTGTATGCAATCCCAGATTGCTTTATTTCAATCCCAGATTGATTTTAGGCACCTTTTTTGCTGCAGTGCGTTGTTCCTTGGAAGAGGTGTGTGTACTACCTGCTTTTCAGATAGATGTTTTGGCTAGACATCTTTAGACATTTCTGCAAACTCTGCATCTCTCCAAGCAGAAATCTTAGCACAGGACTGGATTTCTGAATGGCCAGGGCCTCCACTGGATTTCAGGTGTTTTAAAATAATTCATGCATTATGCATTTATGCACATATACTGTACACAGGTTTACATATGCATAGAGAATGCACTATTTGCGGCCCCAGAAGCAGCTCTGTTCCATTTTTTTTTAATGCATCTGTGCGCAACACAAGGACACGGCCCCAGACACAGCTGTGTGCATGGGGGCCATGTATTTGCAATTTGCGGAAATAATCACTGCGGATCTGTATGCAGCGTTTTTAACAACCAAGTGAATGAGCCATTCAACTAGGTAAATATCACTTATTGGGTACGAAAATCTCATGTCAACTCTCTCTAGCCAGCAGAACAAACTGTAGGCTTGTTTCCATATATTTATAATCATCAACATCAATGTATTATTGCATTGTATTATATCAATACATATTCCACTTTTTGCAAAAAATTTATAAATGCGCCTTTATTGCAAAAAGAAAAAGTCCATTTATTAATGTTCTGCACTGAAGTCGGCAGAGCACTGCAACTGTGATCAGTGGATTGGTATGGAGCTGAAGGAAGTTATCAATGAACTACAAGTGTGGGGATGTCACCTGTACTTCTTTGTGAATTGCGTGTCCCTCTGCCACGGTCCCAGATGGGACTTGCAGTTTTCTCATTCACAGAGCCAGAGATGCCCCACATTTGTACTCCACTGAAAACTACGTGTCCCCCTGCCTTGGTTTCAGATAGGTCTTTTTCATTTTTTTAGTTTTTCATTTACAGATGCTATGAAATGATCTGTGAATGAATGATGTGGCTGTGTGGGCAGCTGTGCTGAATTAAAATATATACAGAAGCCTGTGAGGACAAGCACCCTATGATTCAAGTATGAGAATGGGGTGGTTTGAGAGTGGAGATATACTGTACATTTTTTTTTTAGTTTCTGATAAAATGAGGAAGGGCTATAACTATTACAGTTTCATTGTGGTTCTTCATGTCTCCTTTTAACAACAACCTGACAGATTTTCAAATCTACACATGGGGACACAAACAGCAATAAAGCTGTGCAGGGAGACTTCCGGGCTATTTTTTTTATAATGACCTTTTACAGACAGTCCTCAGTTTTCCAAGATGAACAGGGACGTGCGGTAGGGGGAGGCAGAGCCTCACCTAGTATTATGGAGGAAAAAGCTGTCAGCTTCAAGTCTGAAGCTGACAGCTTTTTCTCCATTCAGAGCAGCTTGTAAGCGGTTACATCGCAGGGAAAGCCTCCCCGCTTTGTAACCTGTCATGGACTAAGCGGCCTGTTAATAACAGGCGTCGCTGCATCTGGCTTTTCACAGCTAAGCTAGGTGACACAGCAGCGGGCTTCCCCACTGCTTGTGTGACCTAACATAGTGAGGTAAGAGCTGCAACAGCCTCTACTCTGTGTAAAGGTGCCCATACACTGTACGATTCTCGTACAAGAATAGCGGGAAATCCCGCGATCGTACGAGAATCGTACAGTGTATGGAAGGCGTGCGACCGTTTCTACTGTACGGTCGCACGTCTTCCATCGAACAAGCAGGCTGAAAAAGCCGCCGGGAATCGTACGATTCTCGGCGAGTGAGTGGCCTGCTTGTTCGACAACTGACGAACGGGACGGTGTGCGCACGCGCACACTGCCCGTTTGCCGTCCTTGCAAGCCCACCCCTCATTGCAGTCATCGCAAGCCCGCCCCCCAAGGGGGCGGGCTTGCGATGATCGCAAGTACGATCTGCCTGTCCAAGATGGGCAGATCGTACGTTTTTTTAAAGTACTTTACAACCATCGCAAGACTAAGGTCTTGCGATGGTTGTAAAGTGTATGGCCACCTTTAGAAGCTTAAGCTCTGTGGATGGTTTGAACCAATGGCAAAGCGCCATTAGTTCAAGCTGTCTTATAAAAAAAAACAACAAAAAACCCACTGAGGACATCGATCTCGATACCTAACCAGTGAGGGACAGGGAGGCTCCTCTCTGTCTCCTCCCTTCCTCCTCCACACATAGCTTGCTGACTGGGTTGGGGGGTGGGGTGTCAGCAGTCGTAGGGGTGGTGCACACTGGGGGCGGCAGGCTCCAGGGGGGAAGCGGTGCAAAAGGGAGAATGCCTCACCCAGCACGGAAGGTACTGCACGTCACTGAAGATGAATGACACTGGGCATCATTCAATCCGAAA